TGAGAACTCTTAATCATTTTCTATTCTATAGCAAACTTTTTCTTTGCTGACAAAATGGAATTGCATTCATCACTACTGCTTTCCTCTAAAAACTATTTTCAGATGCAGTGCTGCATGATCAATGATGTTTTCCATGATAAATTGTTTTAGGAAATCTCTGAGAGGAAGTTTTATGAAATTATCTCCTGAAAAGATTATCTTGTTCTTCACAGAATTGGTTCCAGCTAAACAGCAACAATGAAATTTCTGTTGGTCCTTAGGCTGCCAGTGAATGGGCATGGTTATCCATAACAACAAGTCAAAGAGAAGGTTGTTTCTGGGAAGCAGACATGCCAAAAAAGGTTGCAAGCACTGTTCATCCTTCACCCAGATATCAGTTCTTCTTGCCAAGATTTGGTGGCTTTATAACCACTGACAGGACAAGAGGCCACAGAGTACAGCAGCATCTCTGCCATTCATTAAAGTGTTCATGATGTCCTCTCTCCAGCAACAGAAACATGGGAGTCCTAATTTCAACAAGAATAAAAAGGAAGAGAGGTGTCTAGAATGGGTTGTTTAAAAGCAAATTTGAGATGTGCAACTACAGAGCAGGATCAACAGAAGCAGTTCATCCTTAAGGGCTTCATTCAGAAGGAACTCAGTTCCACAACCTCTTGGCTTATGCATCAGTTATCCTCAGGGATAACTGGATCGAGTGTGGATGCCATGCCAGCATTACGCTCTCCCTGTTTCCATGATGATGTACAAAACAAAAGACATTCCACTTTCTTAACTCTCTGCTTCCCATTATCATTGTCATCCTTTCCTGCCACTTTGCTCCTATGACTGTTGTTAATAGACTTCATCTTGTCTGTCCAATTTAAAACACAGCGGCGCACTCACCACATAGTCCTAGGGGCTTGACCCAAAAGCAATACTCATCAAAGCAAATGTTTGCAGCATCAGGCCCTTTAGATTGAAATTTGGGGGGAAGGGAGGATTTAGGGGCAGAGACCTATCCTTTTAAAATGCTCTATAATAATAATGCCGGGTCACAAAATGCTTGGATGAAGGAATAGCGGTAGATGTTATTTACTCAGCTTTTAAAAAGGCCTTTGACACAGTGGCACACCCAATTCTTATAAATAAACAGTTGCAATGTAGTTTATTACACAGTCCACTGGGTGGAAAATTGGCTTATGGGATGCATCCAGAGAGTGGTGGTGGATGGGTGGGTTGGTTTCTACCTGGAGAAGTGTGGGCGGCGGAGTCCCCCAAGGCTCTGTCTTGGGACCAGTACTGTTCAATATCTTCATTAGTGACTTGGGCGAGTGAGTAGAAAGCACCCCGTCCAAGTTTGCAGACGACACAAAGTCCCTGGACGCGGGTGTTGGGGTGGATGTCGTCTTCCTGGACTTTAAGAAGGCCTTTGACACCGTTTCCCACCACATTTTCTTAAAAAAACTCGGAGACTGCAGCATTGATGCCTACACAGTCAGATGGGTGGCAAATTGCCTAGATGGTCACACCCAGACAGTGGTGGTGGATGGGTCGTTTTTGACCCGGAGGGGTGTGGGCAGTGGAGTCCCCCAGGGCTCGGTCCTGGGGCCTGTACTGTTCAACATCTTTATCAGCGATCTGGATCTGGGTGTGGAAAGCATGCTGTCCAAATTTGCTGACGACACCAAGTTATGGGGCAAGGTGGGCACGTTGTAGGGGAGGGACAGAATCCAGCTAGATCTAGACAGGCTACAGAGGTGGGCAGATGAGAATAGGATAGAGGTCAATGCAGACAAGTGCAAGGTACTGCACCTAGGGAGAAGGAACCAGCAACACACCTGTAGGCTGGGGAACACCCTTCTTGTCAACACCGTGGCAGAAAGGGATCTTGGAGTCATTGCTGACTCCAGGATGAACGTAAGCCACCAAGGCGAGGAGCCGGTCAGTAAGGCTAACCGCACCTTGTCATGCATTCACAGATGCATTGCAAGCAGGTCCAGAGAGGTGATCCTTCCCCTCTATGTGGTGTTAGTCAGGCCGCAGTTGGAGTACTGTGTCCAGTTGCGGGTGCCGCACTTCAAGGGGGTGTGGCTAGCATTGAGAGGGTCCAGAGGAGGGCCACTCGCATGGTCCAGGGGCAGCGGGGCAGGCCCTCCGAAGAGAGGGTAACAGACCTGAATCTATTCAGCCTCCACAAGAGAAGGTTATGGGGGATCTGGTGGCCATTTACAAACTCACCATGGGGGACCAGCGGGAATTGGGGGAGGCTCTGTTCCCCCGGGCACCAGGCAGCGTTACTAGGAATAACAGCCACAAATTGTTAGAGAGAAAGTTCAAGTTGGACATCAGGAGACATTACTTCACAGTTAGGGCTGCCAGGCTCTGGAATGGGCTCCCAAGGGAGGTGGTGCTCTCTCCTACCTTGGGGGTCTTCAAGAGGAGGCTGGACAGATATTTGGCTGGGGTTATATGACCCCGGTGCCCGTTCCTGCCCAGGGCAGGGGGTCAGACCTGATGATCTGTTTAGGTCCTTTCCGACCCTAACTACTATGACACCAAAATATGGGGGGAGGTAAACAAACTAGACGGCAGGGAGCAAATCCAGGCTGATTTGGACAGGCTGGGGAAGTGGGCAGAACAGATATAGAATGCAGTTTAACAAAGATAAGTGTCATGTGTTTCACCTAGAGAGGAAGAATCATCAACACTCCTATAGCCTGGGAGGTACCACTCTAAGTTGCACAACTGCAGAAAGGGATCTCGGAGTCATAGTCGACTCCAAAATGAACATGAGTCACCAATGTAATGAAGTAATAAGTAAAGCTAACCCTGCTCTTTCTTGCACAAGTAGTTGCATCAAACAGGTCCAGGGAGGTGATACTTCCCCTCTATGCAGCACGGGTCAGGCCACAGCTGGAGTACTGCGTTGAGTTTTGGGTGCCGCACTTCAGGAGGGATGTAGATAACTTGGAAAGGGTTCAGAGAAGAGCTAGCCGTCTGGTTAAAGGCCTACAGAAAAAACCCTACAAGGACCGACTGAGGGACCTGAACCTCTTCAGTCTCCACAAGAGAAGGCTGAGGTGATCTTGTGGCTGCCTACCAACTCATCAGGGGGGCACAGCAGAAAATAATGGATGTGATGTTTACCAGGGCACCCATCAGGACAACTAGAAACAATGGCCACAAACTGAGGGAGAGCAAATTTAGATTGGACATCAGGAAAAAAATCTTTACAGTGAGGGTTGCCACAATATGGACTACGCTTCCAAGGGAGGTGGTGCTGTCCCCTCTCTTGGAGGTATTTAAGAGGAGATTGGACAAACACCTGACTGAGGTCATCTGACCCCAGCACTCTTTCTTGCCCAGGCCAGGGGCTCAGACTCGTTGATCTAATAGGTCCCTTCCAACCTAAAATCTATGAAATCTATGAATAGTAATTGGAAATCCAGAGGCTACTTCCAATTCTGTATTTATTTACATATCACATGTTCTTATATAAGACATGTACCTCGTTTTGGGAAGGCTGAATGAGGGGTAAAAAAAGACTTTTCCTTTTAACCAAGCAGTTCATAATCCATTTCCTCGTTTAAGATGCACACTAATTTTGGGGAAAAGGTGAGTGTGGTACATGAATAAATAAGGTAATCTAAAGCACTATATTTCTGTTCTCTGAGGACAGATGCAAAAGATCTTTCTGTGGAACACAGAGGTGTCGCAGCATGCACAGAACCACTCAAACAATACAGCTTGGCAGGACACACAAAAATGGCAACCCATCTGCAAAAACTGAGGCAGCAGGAAGAAAGATAGCTGTACCATACAGAAATATGGGGGGGAAATAAGGGAGAAATTGTTCAAGCACCAGGATCCAAAGATAAACCCTGTGTTCAAACAGAGCAGAAGACAACTTGAATGGGTGAAAGCTGCCTCTGCCCTGTGATTCTGAAGCATCTTGGGACTCTTCAAGAATGAAGTGGGAGACCAAACCCAGGCAATTTTTTAGACCTATTAAAATAGGTTTCTAAAGACAGATCTACAGCCCATCAGGTCCCTACCCTGGGATGTGCAACACAGCAATTTTAGTCCAAATTGTATTAATTCTTCCAGCTTTGCAGCTATAGATGACAGACTAGATATACCAAAAGATAGGGGCACCAGCACTTAGTAGGATGCTTGCATGCAGGAGATCTCCCACTAAAATATCTTGTCAGGTAACGAAAGACAGCAACATTCCCATTCCCCCACCCCTGCTAGCTTTGCTTCTAATTTCTCCAAACACCTCTATGGTACAATTACAGGAGCAGTCATTACATGGTTTGTACAAATAAACTGGTTTAATTGTAACTACAGTAAGGATATTTTCACTATATACATTATGTTCACTGCTTATATTATCAGTTGGCCATGCATGCTTTATTGCACATATAAATAGTGTACAAAGATTCATGAAGATTTCTTTTAGCCATACAGGTTAAGACTGCATAAAAAAGCTGTATTACAAAATATTTAGAGCCATTTACAGCCAACTTTCAGCAAATACTGAAGGACACTATCAGGAGAAAAATCAAATTTTAATTATGAAAAAACAAAGATTTGTTAAAATAATAATTACAAAGCTTCATGTTGCCATATATACATTGTAAAAAAATACTCAGGAACCTGCATTTTACCCTTCAAGATGCAGCAATGAATATTCCTATTTATATAGTCAATCTTTGAATGTTTATTTTTTAATTCTGATATACTCTGAGTTGAAAACTTATTTTCTTTACATTGTTCAGGCTTTTTTGACAAAACAGCTATTTGTGCAGCTGTCAAACATTAAAATACATTTTAATTTAGTGTTAAAGTGCACAGTACATTTTAATAGGAAATAATATGCTAGCTGCCAATCAAAATTACAATTTAAGTCAATGTTCCCTTGCTAAAACAAAAGCTTTTGCTTTGGTTGAAATAACTGGATATTTTACATACTTTAAGTCTCATTATCCTGGATATCGCTTATCCCCCTAACAAATTGCTCTCAATTCACTCCAGTACACTGGCAATTTGAAATGTCAAAAATGCTTAGTCTGCATTCAAATAATGTATATTATTCAAGCTTAAAAAAATAAGTTACTGGAATATGGGGGTTTTTAAATGCCATGTCTTTGTGTGAACATGCTTAAAACTGCCTAGAATATGGAGTATTGTGACGATGATGCACTGTTCTTTCAAACAGCTTTAAGCTTTTTACTTCTACCCATCCACTTGCTACTTAAATCCCCCTCTACATTGTCTCACCTGTGTGTAATGCACATCAAATGCTACTTGCTTGAATGTAACACTGACCCTAATACCCATCCTTTTTGCCACATACAACTTCCCTGCCTTGTTTGCCTAAATTACCTCACCAGGTTTTCATACAAAGGAAAATGGATGTTCCAAATCTTGTGAATACCACTGTGCTCAAATGTATCTACCTAGAATATTTTTCTGACAATGCTTTGATATTAAGTTAGGCATTTAAAACTTCTGAAGTTAAAAATAACATGACTCCTTATTTTCTGTTCCTCAGTTGGGACAAGAAATCTGATCCTGCAAACATTCACCACAAAATGTTATGCTCAGCGTTATGTGAAATCCCAGCGGAACTACATGGACTATAATGAGATTATATTCACTGTAGTAAGCACAATATCAAGCAGCGAGTATTTGACAGAGGGCCTTTAAGATGGTAGGCAATCTGAACAACTGTATCTTTTCTTGAAGAAATCACTGACTGCACAACATTTTGGCCAGCTGGTAAAGTTTCTATTGTTTACTTCCTTGTGCTATTTTTTTTTCTTAATTTGTCCTGTAGTGCTCTCTTCTTTGAATATCACTCAAGTTACAGTGCAAAATTTGATTTCAAGACACATGATGCTAATGCACATTATTTGCTTTGCTGTGGTAAAAGTTTAATGTCTTGTGCATAGTAAAATAAGTATCAATCAAAAATAGTTGTTCACATTTATGTTTTCAAGTTTAATCTTTCCTTATTTATTTATTTATTTCTAACAGCTATATACAAATAAAATGGGTGTGCTCTAAACTTCAACCAATTTGATCTAATGGAGGAAGGAGGAAGGTGCTGCTGGAATGCAGGAAGCTAAAGGAATGCAGACAAATGTTACCAACGTTCCCCACATCTGAAAACGAATGAGTGCCATCCCAGCCAACAGTTCTTTTCATAAAAGCACCTAGTTTTGTTTATTGTTACATATTAGAAAATACGGCTTCCGGAGGTCTAACATTACTGCACACCAACTAGAATAAAAAATAACTAAATATTTATATTAAAGTGTTTAACCACAAAAAAGCAGTAATAAAATACAGTTTCCTAATTTACATTTTGCATCCAAAGGATGAATAACAACTCACTAATAAATAATATTTATATAAATATTTTATGTCTGGGTACTTTTAAAAAGCAATGGCCTGAAGCAACTGCAGAAAAACTAACGTGGTACAATTCCAATATTTTTCTTTCCAAAAAAAATCAAACAAAAACAAAGATGGTTTTTACTTTAATCAGGTCAATGTATCTTGCTGCAAGACAGCTATATTCCACACTTATGGAAGTGGCAGAGAGGTGGCCATTTTAGTAAGTACTGTACAAGTCACATAAAAGCAGTGAAGTGCCAATCTGCTCTATAAAATGATTTCTGTTTTGTTCCTGATTTGTAGCTTGACACATGTTCAAAGTCTGAGAGATGAATTTCAGGTCAGGTATCAGGAATGCTCTCTTGCAGCAGCAGTGTATTGTTCAATGCAGTGTGAAAGATGAGCAGTGTGTTTTAATACTTGGATGGCACAGCAGAGCTGACTACAGCAGACCTCGTGGTTTCACGTGAATAAAGCTTGTTTCGTTGTGGTTACGTCTAGTAATGCTTGAACGGTTATGCTCACTTTTACCAAGCCCTTTTCTTCTAGGATGTGATGTGGTAGGCAGAGCTTCTCCTAGAAGGAAAACAAAAGAGCAAAGATGAGACTTGCTGCTTAATCTTGTGGTATGCAAACATAGTTATTTCACCACTCAGGACTCATTGTTCTAGTTAATTTTAAACTCTCCGATGGAAATTATTCCCTCATGCTGCTGATTTACTTGGCCTAGTTTGAGTTTTTAGCTAGTCTGGTTTACTACAGGGCTAAGAGGTTACCATCAGTCTTACTGCTAAAGTTCATAATTAACTGTCAGCAACAAACCTGATATTGCCATTATATATCATACACACATTAATTCAGGTTTAACAGCCTAAAAAGCACAGATAGTGAGCATTGCAGGCACTATGAGATATTGTGACAATCACCTATTAGGGTTTAAAAAATGTAAGCTAAAATCACAACCCCACTGAAGTCCAAGGAAGTTTTGCCACTGATTTCAATAGAGCCAGTATTTCTCCCCAGTACATGCACCTTAGAAAGAACTCATTAGCATCTACAGATTGAATGGGAACAAAGTTTTGCATTGAATGGATATGTTTCATTCTGAAGGATTCCAAAGTGCTTTAGAAACTTGCACTGGTTTTCAAAGAAAAATCAGTACCTGCCCACTAGAACGGAGCAGCCACTGTCAGGGGGAAAACCTACCAGTTGGTTACAGGACGTAGGAGCGTAACACTTGAAGAAACTAGTAGTAGTCTGCCTCTGACAATAGATAATACCAGATCTGCCTAGAAACTCCATAGTGACAATTATGGAAGAGCCTAGCCACAGAATAATTTTTTTTCTAACCCCAACTGGTTAGTGGACTGTTAATGTTTCCCCTAGTACAACTGGGAACTAGTCTACTGTTCTTACAAATGGTCTAACTCTGTTTTGTAGCTTGCTACACTTACAATCAGTCTGACAAAGGTATTTAGGGGCCTGACTTACCATTATGCTTAAAATCAAAGGTGCGTTTAGTACCTAACTACTTCTGTGAATCTGGACTGTATCCTCTGAAGATATCCAACAGCAATGAGTTCTATATGTTACTATGCAAAAAAGTATATTCTTTTATTCTCTGTTATTTAAAATTTGTTTTGAATTTTCCTGTTTGAGTTCTCTTTCAGTTTTGAGAAAATGAACAGAGGCTTCATATTTTATCTTTATGGAATTATTCTGTTTACCGTTATCATTTATCATTATATACATCATCTCTAAAAAAACAAAAACAAAACCTGGGACCCTTTTATTCCTATGATAAACTTTCCTTCATCTGTAATCTAATCCTTCATTAACCATCTCTGAATGCTTTCTCATCTTGAATTAACATTCCAGGTGATTGAATGCAACAGGTTTATACAATAATGGTGCAATATTATTCTATACCAGTGGCTTCTGCATCATATCAAATCTCTGCCTTTAATTAAAAGATCAGTGCGTAGTGGTCTGCAGGAAATTCTGAGGGATGACAGCTGTCTACTGGGTAAAAAAAATTTCACATTACTGTTTCTATCTCATCACTTAATACATCTTACTTCTTTCCTTCTTCCTCCTTCCACCCTTCTTGCTACTGCATATTGACTTTCCCCCAAGTGATACATGTGATAAGTTTCCTGAAGGATTACATTTCAATTAAAACCCAGTGATCTGTATGAAGAGCTGATGTTATTCCTTTCAGTGCTCAGGATCTTGATTTTGCTATCAGTAAGAGGTTCCATTGTCACTGTGCTTCAGATTTAATTTTAGACTCTCTCTTGAAAGTTGCTAACAGTCCTCTCTAGCTTCAATGACCCATAGTCATTTTAACCATCTGTCAGATTTTGCTACCTTCACTTCCTTTCTCAGAAAACTGATCAATATATTAAGCCATGTGGATGTGTTGAGCACCCCACTGTTAACCACAGGATATAGTGAAAACTGACCATAAATTCCATCTGTTTTCTGTCTCAGCCAGTTTCTAATCTATAAAAGTGCATTCTCTTTCACGCTAAGACTAGTTGTTTTGTGCAATAGCTTTGTGTGACGACTTTAGCCTGTACTTGTAAATAGAAAGTTCCATGGTATCTTTAATGCCTGTAAGTCAGGACACCAGCCATAATGGGGTTGTCTTCAACACCACAGTGACAAAGTGCTCCAGGCACTGGTTCAAAGCTGTCTATAGAAAGGGAAAAAGTACCACTATCTACTGTAACCATCATTAAAACTTTCAGTCAGAAAAAAGGTTTTTCCTTTGTAGCCTGCTCTCAAAGTTGCACCTAGTCAGATCCTGCTTAGTTCAAGATTGACATACAAAAGCACGAAGCTAAACAGCTACAGGCCCCAAACACTCTGTCATAGCCAACACAGGCAAGTTGTAAACGTTAAAATTAACTGCAAATTTTATACATCAACTACATAGTAAGAAAAGAAAAAACCAAAGTCTGTTCCAAAATCTTGTATCAGGCCACTGCTGCTATAATTTATCCTTGAGCTGTAGAAAGAATAGTGTTTTGTTTTTTGAGTTCTCTTACTTGTAACTAGTTGTGATAGGGAAATGCCTGTGATAGGGAAACATTATGTGGTGTCCTTCAGAAAAGATGTTGTGCAGGTCTCCTACAGATGGGTCACCTTGTTAATTGGAGTCAGCAACTTCCCCCCACTCCGTCACCCTTTTGCCTCTGGTTTCTTCACTAGTGTGTTAGCTTTTGACACTACAAGTCATCACTGAATTCAGAGCTGTAATGAAGCAAACTATCTCTAATACTAGCCTCAAGGCTTATTAATGCTGTCAGTGCCTTCAGCAAGCATGAAAGGGATTTAATCTTAATTGAAATCATATAAATAATAATCTCAGTGGGTTTGTTCTTGTGTAACTGAGATATTAGAGATTTGCTAACTGGCAGGCAAGACTGTCCTTAACTATTACTTTCTCATTATACAGGCAAATCTTTGTGGAGAGGTATAGAGAAGTTGTAAACCTTAATATGTATCCTTAGATGCAAGCTGGCAAGCACCTTCACGTAGAACTGGTAGTGGGAAAACAGATGAAATGGCAAAAATCAGTTTAAAAAAAACAAAAATATCAATAATATTCAATTCCATCAACACAAAGTCTTATCCAGAAGGACAAGTGCAAAGTTCTTCACTTTGGACAGAAAAAATTACATGCACAAATACAGACTGGGAAATGACTGGCTAGATGCAGTACTGCAGAGGACCTGGAGGTTACAGTAGACCATAATCTGAACATGAGCTAGCAGTGTGCTATTGTTGCAAAAAAAAAAAAAAAAAAAAAAAAAAAAAAAAAAAAAAAAAAAAAAAAAAAAAAAAAAAAAAAAAAAAAAAAAAAAAAAAAAAAAAAAAAAAAAAAAAAAAAAAAAAAAAAAAAAAAAAAAAAAAAAAAAAAAAAAAAAAAAAAAAAAAAAAAAAAAAAAAAAAAAAAAAAAAAAAAAAAAAAAAAAAAAAAAAAAAAAAAAAAAAAAAAAAAAAAAAAAAAAAAAAAAAAAAAAAAAAAAAAAAAAAAAAAAAAAAAAAAAAAAAAAAAAAAAAAAAAAAAAAAAAAAAAAAAAAAAAAAAAAAAAAAAAAAAAAAAAAAAAAAAAAAAAAAAAAAAAAAAAAAAAAAAAAAAAAAAAAAAAAAAAAAAAAAAAAAAAAAAAAAAAAAAAAAAAAAAAAAAAAAAAAAAAAAAAAAAAAAAAAAAAAAAAAAAAAAAAAAAAAAAAAAAAAAAAAAAAAAAAAAAAAAAAAAAAAAAAAAAAAAAAAAAAAAAAAAAAAAAAAAAAAAAAAAAAAAAAAAAAAAAAAAAAAAAAAAAAAAAAAAAAAAAAAAAAAAAAAAAAAAAAAAAAAAAAAAAAAAAAAAAAAAAAAAAAAAAAAAAAAAAAAAAAAAAAAAAAAAAAAAAAAAAAAAAAAAAAAAAAAAAAAAAAAAAAAAAAAAAAAAAAAAAAAAAAAAAAAAAAAAAAAAAAAAAAAAAAAAAAAAAAAAAAAAAAAAAAAAAAAAAAAAAAAAAAAAAAAAAAAAAAAAAAAAAAAAAAAAAAAAAAAAAAAAAAAAAAAAAAAAAAAAAAAAAAAAAAAAAAAAAAAAAAAAAAAAAAAAAAAAAAAACCAAAAAAAAAAACAAACAGTTATTGTTGCTGTTTGTCCTTCTAATTCAAAGATGAACATGACAGCACTGGTTGATTTGGTTTCTGTGAATATGTGAATAGCCGATCAAGGCAATTTGTGCTTTGAACTGTTTACAGCACACTGAGCAAGAGATGCCACTTTGGGTTGCTTGATCAGCAGTGGATGTGCTGCTGTTGTAAGATTTACGCTGTCTGCACTTCGGCTCTCCTCAACAGTTCTTTTCTGCTCACAGACGGCAACTCCAGTATGGATGAGACTTCGCCAAGTGGAACGATCACGAGCACTCCAGTCTTCCCAGGACTTGGGTCAATGTTGAAATGTTTCAAGGATGACTTGAGAGAGTCCTTGAAGCATTTTTTTTTGGCCTCCCTGAGAATACTTTCCCTCCTTTAGCTCACAGTAAAAGATCTTTGGCAGTCGCTCATCTGACATCCAGGTGACATGGCCTGCCCATCTCCTCTGTGATTTCATGAAGAGTGTGAATGCTTGCAATGCCTGCCTGTGTGAGAACCTCAGTGTCTATGACTTTATTGTGTCATCTTATTCTCATCAGTTTCCTCAGACAGCCCATGCGTAAGTGATTTAGCTTCATAACATGGCATCTGTACACCGTCCAGGTTTTGCATGCATACATCAGAATTAGCAACACAGTGGCTTTGTAGACCTTCAGTTTTGTTTGATGATTGATGCCTCTATGCTTCCATGCATTTGCATGTAATCTGCCAAAGGCCATGCTTGGTTTCATCAATGATGTGTACTGCATGTGACGGTGTACTGCCAAGATAGGTGAATTTGTCCACTGCCTGGAGGGTTTGACCATTCACTGTGATGGTAGGCTCTACATAATCCTGTCTTGAGCAGGGGGCTGGTGCATCGCTTCTGTCTTCTTAGTGTTGGTTGCGAGACCAAAGTTGTCACAAGCTGAAGAGA